ACATTGAAAGAAGGTCAGGAAAGCAGAAACAAAGATGTTATAAATTTTCAAAAACACTTTACAGGAAGTCAACTCTGTGTTTTTGAAATAAACTTTAATATATAGGTCTAAAAATATTTAAAAAATGCAAAAAATACATGTTGCGCCATATTTATTTGCACAAATTATATCTATTTTTTGCATGTGACATTTATTTATTATTTTTATTACTAACTCACTCCAACAAACACTATGAGCTGGGAACAACTAGAAAACAAAGAATAAGGTTTGGTTTTTAATTAGAGAGGAAACAATTGACAAATGATATTGAGTCAGGAAAACATGAAGATGTGAGAGAGTTCTAAAGGATTGAAATGCAGAGAAAAAAACTAAATGAATAAAGGTTTTTAGTGCATGAAGGGACAGGCATAGTAAAACAAACCCAACTTTGCCAAAATAGGAGTCAAGCGAGAATAAATTTTTGTTGATGGTATATAGACAATAGCCTTTTTGAGCTGCGACCATGATAGTATTTGTAGAAAAGAGAAAGAGATGCAACAATGATAGACAGGCTCAAACTTAGCAGAAAAAGCAGGTCCTTGTCTAGAAGAGAAAAAGTATCATTAGAACAACCTAACATAAAATAACTTGTTATGTTATGTCACATTTTATGTGTTCGTTGTGTGCTATTGTAAAAATTGTTTATGCTATGTAATAATATTCAGAAATTAAATGAATTCTAGAAATCAAAATATTTTAGAAAAGTATTCAACATATGCTACATGTAAAACTTTATACTTTGTGTCTTTGGTGTACTACTATAGCTGCCATCCATATTATGCTCTCCTCAACAATATCATAAATGTTCATTTATGGTAAGTCCTCAAGATTATTATTAGTATAATTATATTAGTATAAGTATTATTATGAAATATGTTTTTGGTATTTGCATGTAAACAATGTTTATCTAATTGAAAATATTGTCAAAAATGTATCATATATATGTATACCATATATTAAAAATTAAAAATGTCACATGTCAATTTTTTATCTTGTCACTTGTCTTTAGTTTGGCGCCGTTGGTGTGCCTATCAGAGGTTTAATAAAGGGCAATAATAATTATAACAGGCCAGGGTATATATAAAATATTCACCAAAAAGTAATGACACATGATTTTTTGAAAAGAGTATAAAGTTAAGTCATCTGCAAAGAGAGCCACTTAAGATCTAAGATCAGGAAGATCAATAATGTAGATAGGAAACAATACAGAACCAAGGCACCTTGAGGCACACCAGATATTACTAGAAATGAAAAAGAGTGTTGGCCTTCAAGGATGAATTTAATAAAACGGTTAAAAAGAAATGATTTAACAAATTCAAAAACCTTCCCAGATACAACATATGATGCAAGCTCATAGAGAAGACCAGCATGCCAAACTTTATCAAAACTTTAGATATGCCAAGAGCAATAGCTCTTGCCTCGCCACCTCCATCTAATACATGATAGAACCTTTCAGTCACAGCAGTAAGCAAGTCAGCCATAGAACAGGAGGTCGAAAACCTTAATGGTCTGACAGTAAAACTTGATTGTCTGACAGTAAATTATTAGATTCAAGATAGGATGTTAAAAATTTGTTGATCAAAGACTAAAAGACCTTGCTAATAATAGAGAGAAAGCTAACCAGACAACAGTTGGAGGGTTCAGAATGTTGTCAGAACTAATGAGGGGTCAGAATTGATGCATAAGTATATGCCCAACCCAAGCATGTGACTATTGGAGTCTTCGCAAATCAAAGGATAATAGCCATCAATACTAAGATCTGAAGTTGAAACAGCTGAATTTAAATTAGTCTCATAAAGAACAAGTAAGTCTGGTGAATTTCGAAAGAGGTAAGATTCAATTGATGGAAAATTACTCCTTACTAAGTTAAAGAAAACTTGAATCTTTCATAGATAGAGCATGGCATCCAAAGCAATAAGCGATGCAGTTTCCTAAGTCCTGCTAATTAACTTGTAATAGGGACAACATCCATGGGAAACATGGGACTGATATTTTACAGCTGTTGATGGAATCAACCTTTTTGAGAAACAACAGGGTTCAGAAAACCTAACTACAAACTGGCTTCAGAACCATTAAACTGAGTCTTAGAGCTGCATCCTCATTAAGAGATAGAAAGAGATACATAGCCACTAACAAAGAGGCAAAAGCAAAAACATCAAAAGCAAAAACTGAACTAACACTAAACCAGAGATTTAAAAAGAACACAAACATAAATATAATTCCTTACAGGCAAGCAAACACCATGTCAGAGGTTTAGACAGAACACAAACCAACACATAGTAAGTTACAGGTAAATAAACACCATGTCAGAGGTTCAGATAGAACAAAAACATACATATAATAATTTATAGGTGAGTGGACACTGTGCCAGAGGTTCTGCTAGAATACAAACATACATATATAGTAATTTACAGGTAAGTAAGTTAAAACTAAAACACCTCTAACCACACAAAAGACAAAA